ATGCCTTAACTGCCAGAAGGTGAAAGCGGAACGTTGTAAGGTAAAGGGGTTGGTGCAACCATTAGAAGTTCCGCAAGGAAAGTGGGATTCTATATCTATGGATTTCGTGGGAGGAATACCGACAACCCGTTTGGGTAAGGACAAAATCTGGGTGATAGTTGATCGTTTGACTAAGACTGCCCGCCTTATCGCAATGAAGGAGACTTGGACAATGACACAGTTGGCTCAAGCTTATGTTAACCAAGTGGTAAAGTATCATGGAGTTCCGAGGGATATTGTTTCCGATAGGGATCCAAGGTTCTTGTCTCATTTTTGGAAATCCTTGCAAGCGGCTCTTGGAACCAAATTAAGCCTCAGTACTGCTTTCCACCCAGCCACCGATGGGCAAACAGAAAGGACTATACAGACTATTGAAGATATGTTGAGAGCTTGTATGCTAGATTTTCAAGGGTCTTGGGAGGACCATTTGGATTTGATCGAGTTTTCTTACAACAACAGTTATCATTCGAGCATTCGCATGGCACCTTATGAAGCTCTCTATGGACAGAAGTGTCGCAGTCCACTATGTTGGGAGGATCTTATCAATCTGATAGTGTTGGGACCTCAATATTTGCTTGACACATCCGAGAAGATTAAACAGATACAGGAAAGGATGATAGCGGCTCAAAACCGTCAAAAGTCCTACGCTGACTTGGCTAGTAGACAAGTGGAATTCACGGTCTGGGATAAAGTTTGGTTAAAAGTGTGTCCCACCCGGGGAGTAATGCAGTTCGGAAGGAAATGGAAGTTAAGCCCTAGGTTTATAGGCCCGTATGAAATTCTGGAGAGAGTTGGAAGCTTGGCCTACAGTTTGGCGTTCCCCATGGAATTAGAGAGAGTGCACAACGTGTTTCACGTGTCTCAGCTCAAGAGTTATGTTCACGACTCGGCTCATGTTTTACCACCAGAAGTAATACCGATAGATGAGGATTTGTCTTACGAAGAGAGACCACTCAAAATCTTGGACTTCAAGACTCGGGACACACGGAGGAAATCCGTTAAGATGGTGAAAGTTTGGTGGACACATCATGGGATTGAGGAAGCTACTTGGGAGCTGGAGTCAACTATGCGGGAGCGGTACCCAGAGTTGTTCGTAGAAGGTACATCATTTTCATCGTTGGTTGCTTGCCTTGCGTGCTTGCCCTTGCTTGTTGCTTTGTTGTTTAGTGAGCTTAGTAGTAGTAGTGGGTGTTTCATGTTGGTTGTCTTGCTCTTAGTGTTTGGATAGAAGTAGGTGTTGGTGTTAAGACTAGAGTTTGTGATGCTCAATCTACTCCTTGTTAAGTTCTTGTCAGTTCGTGATTGTTATGCCTTTCTTCTTGTTTGGAATCCTTGTAGAACCTTTTGAGCTTTGACCAAAAGAGCTTATTCTTGAACCTCTTGTCACAATGTTGTTTCCTACCACCGTTTGTTTCTAATTCGTCGTACCCAAGCTTCGGGGACGAAGCTTCTTTGAAGGGGGAGAGGATGTGACACCCCAAAAATCCACATTCAATCCATGGATTAATTGAGTAATTAATCCTATCTTAATTGAAGAGTCAATTCCTAAAATCCTGATTTTTAATACTCAAGGACTAGTATTTGACTAGTCAACTTCAAAGTTATGTTGTACCTTGAGCTTTGAGGGGAGTTCCCTTGTTCCTTACACTTTCTAAATGTTAGTAAGGGCATTCTTGACCTTTCACCAAGTGTTAGTATTGTAACCTAACCTAGAAGACATTTTCATTTCATCCCTTACACTTTCTAAAACATTAGCTCTACCTTCTCTCTAGAAAGGTTAGTAGCTTATTCTCCAAGCTAAGTTGAGACCTTGTCAAGATTCCAAGATTTGCTTCCAAGATTCAACCTTTCACCTATTTGGGCATCTAGGAGGGTAAGATCTAAGTCCATCTTGTGTTTTTGGTTCCATCTTAGATGTCTTTTTCTTAAAAGTAGGATCTTTATGATCTTTTGGTTTGTTCTTGAAGTGGGTTTGGAAAGTAAGCCTTGTGGGGAGCTTGTTGAGGTGTTAAGTGAAGTCTTTTAGTCTACAAGAGGTAACCCATGCTCTACTTAAACCTATTTTGCTTACCTATATGTGATTTCTTGGATTCTACTTGTGTTTTGCTCTGAAATGTGAGTGTTGATGCATGATCTTGTGAAAATGCATATCTAGAGCTTGTGTTTAGGGTCCTTTTGTGCCATTTCTTGGCATTTCCTATGATTCAAGTCATTTTGTTGTATTGGGTGAGATTTGGCATGTTTTGGTCTTGATTTTGAGTTTGGAGTTGAAAATCCGCGAAGTGGTGTATTGTGGTACATGACATGTACCCGCGGGCGGAACGGTGGGCGGGGCACCACCCGTCGTCCCACCCTCAGGTACAAGGCTTGTAGGAAGGTTTTCCCGCGGGCGGAACCACGGGCAGGGCACCACCCGCGGGTACACAAGCGGTGTTGTGATGGGATTTGTTCCCCGTGATTATTTTGACTCGGTATTTGGTCCTTTGACTTCCCGTTGTTCTTTTATGGAACTATTTGAGTGTCTTCTTGATGTTTCGTATGTCTAGAACTATATGGTAGGTATCCATGTAGGACTTTGGTGCCTTGAATTGTGCTAAGTGTTCAACATTGTGTTTCGTTGAACCGTGATGAATCTTGTGTTCTTCGGAACTACCTTTGGTTTCCTCGTTGATAAGCATGCTAGTTTGGTATCTAAATGCCAGCGTGTGTGTTGTTTGTACCATCCTAATGGTTGATGATAACTTGTGTTATTCATCGTTGTTGTTGTTGGGCTGTGACCCATTCCTTGATTGAGTATGTTTCATACCTTCGTTATGATCCGTTGATTGATTCTTGTTGAGGTGTGATGCGTGTGTGGCTTTACCTGGATTGCAGGATTAGTGGTATGGGACACTAGTCACCAAGGTATTGTAGCGGTCCTCGTGGTGGCCGTGACGTGACTATGGAGCTGTGGCCTTTGTGTGAGGTTCACGTATTTATGGGGGATAACATGTGTTATCCAGGGCATGCATTGCCATGTGTGTGTACGGTACCTCGTGTACTATGTAATCGGTGGTTTTGTTGGAGATCTGTTAGAGAGGGGACGACGGTCCTCGGGGGAATAAGGTTGAACTTGGTGTACAGGGGTCCTGGAGGTAAAGGTTGGAACTAGACATAAGGTTGGGGTAGCCATAAGGTTAGAACCGGGCATAAGGAAGGCATATCAACTCGTAATGGGTGATGTCACGAGGGCTTGTGTAGCCATGGTTGTGTGTTCTCTCTTGTGACGTGTGTAGTCACAAAGGCATGTGTTGCCATTTGTCGTGTCTTTATCCTTGAGTTGTTGTTGTTGTCCTTTGTGGTCTTGGGATGTGTTCCTGTGTTGCTTGTGAGAGTGATGAGTCCTGAGTTGGTGTTTACTCTTGGTTTTCACTTATATATACGTATTCCGTTTCGAAATGATTTCTGTATATATCCTATCTATGTACGATACTTAACAGGTATTGGTGGGTTACCAGCATTATCGCTGACCGGGCGTCGTCCCATGTTTATCTTTGTGTTCTTTCAGGTGATGTCTAGACGAGCACGATGTCTAGTGGCAGGTAGTTTAGTACCTCTATCCTTGTTTTGTGGCATGTGTGCCGATGTAGTATTAGACTGTTGACTTTGGGATAGTTTTGTACACGTAGCGTTTACCATTGTTGGTAAACGTTGCATAACACCCCGTTTGGATTTGTTTTATCCAGTTACCCTTTTATCTTCCGCTGTGCTAGTGTGTTGTTGTGTTATCTGCATGTGTTAAGGCCTTTTACTTGTGCCATGTTTGGGGGGTGTTACAAGGATGAAACCAGACACAGGCTGGAGATTCTTCGTAACAGTCTGATCCTTTAAAAAGTGTTGTTGTTGATGTGTCTGAGGAGAAAGATAAACCCTCTGAGGAGACCAACAATCTAAGTTTGGTTGTTTACTCGGCTGATAATGTTGCTCTGCCTCCTTCTGCGATTGCTGGTGCCCCACATAAAATCTGTCCCTCTGGTAATCTCTCTGGTTTGTCTGCTAAATTTGAGACTGTTAAACTCTCAAGCACCCATGCATCTGAAAGAATAGATGGAGTCCCAGTCTACACCTCCACATCTTTGGCTGAAAGTCTTGAACATGTCCGACACTTTGCTGGTTTACCTGCAGCCTCCATTCCAGAACCATACCGTGTGATTCATCCTTTTGAGTCCTCGAGTGAAGATGAAAAGATCCTTGCTGAAGTCTATAGCACCCAAGCTCATGCATCTAAGCCCCCGACTGTTGAGGCTACTGCACATCCTGATTCCACCACCTTCAAAATTCGAGAAGTAACAAATCTTCTTGGAAGTTCTTATGCCCATGTTTCTGATTCCAGTCACTCTGTGTCTCCTGTTCATTCCCCATCCAAGGAAACGAGCAGATCAAAACGAAATAATGTTCCTTTGAAAGTTGTTGTTGAGTCAGGTAATGACAATGCTGAAGTAGATCAGCCAGAGAAGAGAAGAAAGTCCAGTGAGTCTTTCAAACCTGAAGCTAATCCTCCAATTCAACAAGTGTTCAAAACACTACGGTCATCTGTTAAGCAAAAAGGTCTTGCTGCTGTTCAACGTGCTGTCGTTCCCAAATCCTCTACCAGAAAGGGGAAACCATCTACTCGTTCCAGAGGTCGGAGTATCACTCCTGAGGTTCAACCTGTTGAAAGTTCTGACACATCTATTTACAAGCCTCAGTTTGTTTCTTCCACTGCTCAAGGTAAATGGTCCACCATGGTCAGGAGAGATCTTATTGTTCAGAGATCTGTTGATGAACACCAGATGAATTCTGTTTGCGACATCTTGCCTTTGCTGAGTGAAGTGAGCCTGATGAAGACTGTTACCTCGATTTGCCCTTATTCAAAGCTCCTGACTTATGAGTTCTACTGAAATCTTAATGAGGAGATTGACATTCTGACTGGGCCACGGCCAATGCAAATCTTCATTCGAGGAAAATGGTATGTCTTCGGTCCTGATATGATAAATGAATATTATGGTTTGAAAGCAGTGCACGAAGAAGCAATCACGGACTGGGATTTAGTGGCAAAGACCCTCACAGGTGGACAGACTTATACATGGCCTACTGGTGAAAAGGATTATCTACCTAGCTCTCAGCTCACCTCCAAATATGTCATCTTACATTGTCTTTCTCTTCACAACTGGCTTCTATCGGCTCATTTTCATACGATTGGCAAGCAATTGGCAGGTCTATTGTTTCAGATTGGAACAAAAATGGCGATTGACTTGGGAGCCTGGATTTATTATCATATTCTCACCTTAATCAATCCACGAGAGCAGAAGGTAAGGTTTCCCTTCCCTAATCTGATTTTTGGAGTTCTAACAACTCAGGTCCTTGAGCCAATGCCTAGTGAGGTGATCAGTCCGACTCTGCTCTATACTGTTGATCGTCAACTTTTGACTGGAGACCATATTTGTGATGTTACACCGGTGATTGCTCCCTCCAATTCTGAAGCTGATACAGTGGCTGATGATTCGCCGCATGCAAGGGATCTCCAACTTTCTATTCAGTTGAAGGCAAGGGTCTCTGAGCTTGAGACTGTTCACGGCACAATTGCGAAACAGCTGACAGGGGCTCGTACTGAATTGGCCACCGTTCTTCTTCATTTAAGCTTGTCTGAATCTGCTGGTGCTGAACCTGCTAAGTCTGACAGTGAGACTCCCTCCAATGCTTGACCATACTTTGGCTTTCATTGGCAAAAAGGGGGAGTATGAACTCAGGGGGAGTGTTTATGTGTTTTTGTGTACCTTCTGGCCCTGGCTGGGCGTTGATTGTGATGGCACCACCTATCTTGTTTAAAGAATGTTTATGACTGTTGTTTTGATCCAGCATGACTTGTATGCTGTGTTTTATTTCCGCTATGCTTTATAATCAGATATTTGGTTTGGTTTTTATGCTACCTATCTTAGTTCTTTCAGTTTGTGTCTTTATACGTAGTCGAGTTGTTTTGCCAAATAATAGCCAAAGGGGAAGTTTGTTAGTGTTTTAATTGCTCAAAAACCCCAACTTATAATTGGCAATATTATTATGGCAAACTAAGCTAGGATTAGCTTAGTGTTGTTTTTATTCTACAGAGGACTGATCAATCAGATTCAACAACAGAGGGACTGACACTGAAGATCTGTTTTACGAAGTTGTTTCCTTAAAGGTTGTACGCGGTTTAAAGAAGACAGAATTGGAAAGAAGATCAGCGTATCTGTCTTGGAAAGGTATGGACCGAATCTTTAAGATTACATTCTTCAAATATTGTCCTACCATCTACAATCAAAGATATCTATGGAGAGTGTTCTTACTATGGAACTATAAGTACTCTTATTCGACAAGAATTAGGGTTACGCTTTTAAGAAGGAAGAAACACTCCAAACCAGTTGATGAGATCAGATCTTTGATTATCATGCCTCTTCTCAATACAACATGTTCGTGGTGATTATGATGAAGAACTTGAGAAGAATTTTTGTTGCTTAAACGAAAGGACACTACGACCACACAGTTGTGGGAACAACCGAGAAGAGCGTCACTGAAGTGGACTGCATCAGAGTTGGCTCTCCAAGTGAAGGGATTTCATTGGACTTCTGTATGCATGGCTCTCTGTAAAACCCCAGATTTTCGAAACTTTTAAAGCTTCTATAAGAAGGGTCAAATCTCATTAAATCCCAAACAGGGCAGTACTAATCATAAGAATACGGGGTGTTATGCCACATCTGAGCTAGAGAACTCAGATGCACAGGCTAAACTATCTAATTATCCTTAAACAACATTATTACATCATTATGGCACGCAGGCCGAATATGAAACTCTCTATCTAAGCCTCGGGTCCTCTAGCGCTCCGGAGCTAATTATCTATGCCTGAAAGCCAAATATATCTGTTCAGCGAATAATGCTGGTAACCCACTCCAACGCATTGAAATACATTATAGATAGATATATATAGATATACGAAAACCATTTTGAAGCAGGAAGATATATCCTAGGAAACTCTAGTTTCAAAACCGGAATAGACTCGACAAATACGGACAAGCACATTCAACAGTTATAACCAAGCATGTAAGACACTAGCATATATCCTATGGGATAGGCACATTCAACAGTTGTAACCACGCATGTAAAGATACTTGCATATATCCTATGGTCACGGATTCACTTCATCTCATGTATAACATCGTTCAACTCATCACACAAGCATACTTTGTTGGCGCCACAGGACCAATCGCATGCCCATACATGAGGGTCAGCGCATATAGCTCTGACACGGCCCCGCAGCACCCTGCCTTGTATCGCAACACGAAGGGGTCGATCGCAACCGACCGATGAACCGCAGCTCATCATAATGTTTGATCGCAACCAAACAGTGGACCGCAGCCCAAGAGTGATCATCTGACCGCAGCCAGGAATATGAACCGCAGCTCATGTAAAACGTTTGATCGCAACCAAACGGTGGACCGCAGCCCGAGAGTGTAAATCTGACCGCAGCCAGCTTCTGAACCGCAGCTCAGGAATAACCAATTTGATCGCAACCAAATTGGGGTATCATGCACACATAACACATAGCAAGCACATGCAACCCATATTAACACATTGGGAAAGGGGAGAAAACGTATAATGAAACCTATGCGTGGTCATCCACATACTAGGAATAATCCTAAGGGGTTCATACTTCTTTCACCTAGGCCAACGGGATACCAATTCAACTAGCATGCGATATATATATATATATATATATATATATATATATATATATATATATATATATATATATATATATATATATATATATATATATATAAAAGACTCATTTATCCTACGAATGGTACCCGAAACATCAAACTAGACTTAGGCACGATAAACGGGATCCGTTGGGACACCACGAGGGTCGGGGAAACATCAAACGGAGGAAACCACCATCCCGATGTTGGAAAACCAGCGGGTGGCCGGCGGGTGGAGGACCACCCGCCGGCGGCGAGAAACCGGGCAGCGAGTGCCCGGCGGGCAATCGCTTGCCCGCCGGCTGCCCGCTGCCGACGACGCCCAAATGTGGCAGCGGGTAGGTGGCGGGTTTCCCCTACCCCCACCTAGCCCCACTGACTCATTATCATAATAAACGTCTCGGGATCCTTTGTGGAACCCGAAACCATGCTTAGACACTTTTAAACGCAATTGATGACACCACGTAGACAGTTAACGGATCAAAAGCAAGAATCAAATATCACATATCCTATCATGATTTCTAAGCATAATTAATGCCCGAACATGCGAATTCCCACCCAAATATATCAAGAATACCACAATATGAATTTCACGATTCATCCTAGGGCTCTAATCATATTTAAATAATCAAGATCATAGTTCATCTTTTAACAACAAGAAACATCAAGATTCATCAAGAACATCACATAATCATCAAGAATCTCTTATCATCATCAAGATCATCAAGATCCCACATAAAATTATCCTATCAATTATCAAGATCATATCATCAATATTATAAACGATTCATCACGACACTAGCGTAGAGAAGAAGCCAAAGAAGATAATTATAGCAAGGAAAATAGGTTTTGTTGAGACATGGGTTACCTCTTAGCCTTAATTAATTCTTGGCTATGAAGGGTCTTTCTTTAAGCTTTCTTCTTTCTTGATTTCTCCTAAGGGAATTCTTAGAACTTCTTGTGTGGTGAGAGATTATTGTGGTGTAAGATCTAGGTGCCTCCTATAACCTTATTTATATATTTAAGAGTCCTAATTAGGGTCTAAGTGGTATGGGTTTACTAATCCTATTCCTTATAAGACTAAGGACTTGTTTTAGGGATAAGGGTCGATGGTCCATAGTGGACCATATTAATTAATTAAAGAGAATCCTAATTATAATCTGAATAGTAAAAGACCTACTTCCTTTTATCTTTAATAGATAAATAGGACTAGGATTCCTAATTAGAATCTGACTAGTAAAAGGTTTACTCTCTTTATTTCTAATAGGCTTAAGACTCTAGTTTAGGCAAGGGTCCGCAATCCATGGTGGACCATATTAATTAATTAAAGGGAATCCTAACCAAATTAAATCCTTTTTAATTATCATTAACGGAATTAATTAAATAATTAATCCGGAATTGGAGGCCGTATCACGGGGTGTTACACTCTCCCCCCTTACGAGAAGCTTCGTCCCCGAAGCTTAGAAATTATTACGGGGATAACGAGTCATAACCGGTACGGTGGTTATGTAGAGAAAGTGTTTTACGAGGAAAATATATAATTATATATCTATGTATGCTGGGTTTTTGGGAACGATTGGGTTAGAAGGATAAAGAGAGTGGATGGTTCAGGTTTCAAACTTGAGGACTAGTTGAATTTAGGAATTAGGATCAACGTTTTCGAAGTTGCAACTTAGGAGGTGAGGTTGCTACCTTGTATGGAATCGTTAAAATGGGGAATCAAGAATGAGGCTTGAAGGGTAGAAAGGGTTTTGCAATAAGACGGGGTTTGATTGTCAAAGGGAAGGGATGGAATTCGGCTAGGATGGTTTTAGGATTCTTGACATTGAGTGATTATTCCTGTTTGAAGCCCGATTATGACGTCAAGACGAACTGATGACCCTTTTTCTTTAGTTTTGGCTCTATTTTGCTCTAAGATTTCCGTTGATATTTTCTTCCAATGCTAAGGTCTCATCCATTTTCTCCGCTTTTGAAGGAATTTTTGTGATGAATCCCGTGATGATTCAACACTTACTTCTTTAATGCGCCCAAGGTCTTGACCAAGCTTGGTCAACCAAGCTAATCTTTTAGGGCGCACTTCCCAAATTCTTCCCGAAGTCTCTTGGGAGTCGATAAACTTTGGGTTAAATTTCTCTTCTTATTGAATTTCATCTCCTTTTTAGTGAATGAAGTTCTTAGTAAGACTTTATGTCTTCCCCGAGGTTCGGCTTGTTGTGCCCTTTTGTGTTACTTTTAATGATGAAGGTGCCCTTGCATGCTCTTTTCCTTCTTGAAGTGCAGTTGGTTACCTAATCTCGTTGTGGAATAACTCGGTGACTTTACGAGTCATCTCATTTCCTTGCGGGTCCTTAATAACCCTTGAGGCCTTGGCACAAATGCGCTCTTTTACCTTTTTGCCTAGCACCATGGACTACGTCGTTCTTGATTTTATACAACTTGTAAGGAGCCCTCTGATTTGCTTGAACGATATCCACGGTTTGAAGGGGTCCCGGTCCATCCTTAGCATTTTGACTTTTAAGGCCTTTGTGAGTCCTTAGCACGAGTTCCCAACTCGCCTCCTTAGTTTGCACAATCCTTCACGCCAATCATCCCTAGTCGGTTGCATCGTACAGTCCAACTTCAACTCCACGTGTAATGCAATTGGTTGTGCTTTTCCGACGGTGTCTTGCGTGTCAAGGTCTTTTACCGAGGACACCATGTTTGGGCAACCCATGGTTCCTTACCCAAGGCTCGCGTTCATCAATCGAGGCACACAAGTGCGCCATGAATCAATAAAACGAGGAGTTAAGAAATCAGCACATTGTACCAGTGGGCGCGAGGTGGGCGGTCGTCCGCCTGCCAAGCTCTTGTCAGGGCCCCGTCAAGGTCCCGCCAAGGTCCCGTCAAGGACCCGTTAGGGTCCCATCAAGGTCCCGTTGGGGACCCGCGGGAAGGTGACTAGGACGAGTGAATTCCTTCGGGAAAAATCCCAA